ATTAGCCTGCAGTACCACTGCTCTACCCATATGAGGAGCAAAAAGACGTTTTTAGACCAAATATTACAGATTTGAACAAATACGCACAAAAACATCAAAATTAGCACAGAAACAGTACTATATAACATTTTAGACACATTCTAGACAGTTTATCAGCTAAAAAAGTTAATTTTGGGGTAAGTTACTCTTTAAGGACTTAAATTATGGTAAATTAATTTAATGTTTTTAAATTCCTTGCCGAGAATGCTCAGGGGGCGGAAAGGAAAAAAAGTCTGGACTCTTTTTTTCACCTAATCAATGATTATAAACCGATAGAAAACACTTGAATCCTGATCCATTTTTCAGCCATATCACCCAGCCTGAGATGGAAGGCAAGTTGAAGTAAAATGAACGATTAATTTATCAGTGGTTTGTAAATCTATGAATCCACCACAGTTTGACCTCTGTGATACTAACTTCATGTGTTTAACAGCGTTGGATCCGACCCGCTCAGCCACAAACTCCACCGTGCGGCGCAACGACGGAGGCTGGTTGTGGAAGAAGGCTTGCTCGAGATCCACCTGCCACATGAAATCGTTTGAGTCAGACACACACAAACACACAAGTCAATGTGTTTTAAGACGCGCAGGTTCGGAGTCTGCTGCCGATTCACCTGCAGCTTCTGCTGCGATCTGTTAGCAGCCGGCGCATCCTTCAGCTCAGCAGAAGTGGGAGTAATCTTGCGGATAATTCCTCCACCCCTGGCCGTGCTGCCAGACACAAAAGCTGCTAGAAGCTTACGAAACTCATCTGAATAGACAGAAACAAGGCAGAGCATTAATCCACTGCTTTAACAAGAGCCTGTTTTCTCATTTACCTCATTTATGGTGGAAATATGAAAACAAAACACCAACTTAAGCTCCCCTGCTTCTGATTAAAAGCAAAACAGACAAGAAGATACAAGGTGACTAATAATGTAAAAGTATTTCCACGCACCGAGAAATGGACAGCACGTATAAAGAAGTTGCTGATCCACCAGGGGAATGAGGTCCTGCATTAAAACAGGTAAAACATTTATATACAAAACAGCAGTGTTTGAGTTTATTAAATCAAAAAGTGTCCTTACAAGTCCTGCAGAACTTGCATCCTCCTCCTCCTTGACTACCACTGAAAACTCACTGGTGAAGAAAATATCCTCAGGGATCACTGGAATCTACAAATATTAAAAATACAACAGGACTGATTGTACTGTTGGGATCACAAATGGTTCCCGTGCCTCAGAAACACATACAGTGGGGAAAATAAGTATTTAGTCAGTCACCAATTGTGCAAGTTCTCCCACTTAAAAAGATGAGAGAGGCCTGTAATTGACATCATAGGTAGACCTCAACTATGAGACAAAATGTGAAAAAAAATTTGAGAAAATCATTTTGTCTGACTTTTAAAGAATTTTTTTGCAAATAATGGTGGAAAATAAGTATTTGGTACCCAAAATCTCACAATACATGGCCCCATTCATTCTTTCATGTACACAGACCAGTCGTCCTGGTC